GAGAAAATAAAGGCATGTAAAGTGAGGCTTCTTAAAACCTAAAGGTATCCCCTGGATAAAGGAACTTTTTGCCTTTCCAGTGATAATCTTGTTACTGCATAGCTCCAACTACTTCCAGCTACTTGCTTTGCAACAGCCCATGTCTCTGCGTAGCTTAGAGATTTAGACATGCAAGTTTAAACACCAGTTCACAATTTTCTGGTTCCACAGCATTTCTAGCATTTCTGCAAAAGGTCCAAAGGTGCACCTTTTTTTTCTTTGCCAAATATCAATACCTGTCAGAAGCAGATTTTAAACATATATTTCATGTTTAGGGCCAGACTATTCTGTAGCAGCCCCCAAAATGTCATCTGATCCATTCAGTATGAGTTGTTATCAAAGACCAAATACACTGTATCTGATTCGGGATATTTATTCCTTTCTTCTTTGGGCAACTGAATAAAAGAAGTTGGAGCCTTTATACTAGATCTTCAGAAGCCACAACGCTCCAAAATATCTTTGTATGCTTTTCCCTCCAAACATAAAGAAAATATCTTTTTAAAGATATGTAAGGAAGATTTTAAAAATCTCCTTTTTTTCCAAAATGTCTCATCCATCTCCCCTTGAAGCTGAAAAGAAGTTTGGTTGAGAAATAAAAGGTAGTTACAATTGCATGACTCAAGAATAAAGACGTCAGATTTGTCCAAAAAGATCTTTCTCAAGAAGTATTTCGTTTCTCTGTAGCCACAATGTCATATCAAACAAAGTCATTATTTTGACATTATTTACGACTGTACCAATGCATGTAAAATCCTATCAATGCCTGAGACTGAAACTATAAAAAATTGAGAGCCCTTTTCTTCCAGGTTTTGGAATATTTAATTCTCTCCAAGATTATGCCATAAAATTATCTCTTGCTAAAGTACAGATGGGTGAATGTCCTGGAAATCCAGCTGTTTAAGTGAAGAATAGACAAAATGATGGCTACAGAGTTACATAGCTATTCATATAACAAAGACTGTTGAGCAAAACTGGGCTTAGCTAGAGCAGAAATTAGGCAGAATTCAAATTTACAGTAAAGAGGGACTGACCAGAAGACTGGCAAATGAAGTCATGTATACTGCAAATGATTTAAACCGTGAAACCTTCCCCAGCCCATTCCCAAGCCTGCCTTAATGCTGCACGGTTCATACAGAAAAAAAGATGGTTAATACAGTTCCCTAAACACGGCATTCAAACAGGCTAAGATGCAACTGCACAGAAATACTAATCGTAAGGGCTGTGTCCTTCTTTTAACCTAAATCCCTGGACTTTATACTGGCATTAATTATGGCATTTTGCTCCTTGATTGTGCTTCAGCAACAACCTGCTTCTGCATTTCTGGACTCATCCAATGGAAAATAAATGTGTCCTTTGTCCAGGGAGGATGCTACCCAAACACTCTGAGTTTGTTTCTCGGGTAGAGAAACATCCCAGGTCAAGCCTGAATCATGTTCCAAACAGCACAATAAGACAAAATGTTTTAGCCCGAATACAGAAGAGAGCCAACAGAGAAATAATGGCTACTTCTGTTCATATTCCAGTGCTCTGACAGAAATCCCATTCTCCAAAGAGTTAAGCAACTTCCAGAGATGATCAGTGAGGGAAATCATCATATCTAGTGTCTTGACAAAGGGAGACAGAAAGATGGGGGAAATAAGAAGATACAGGGGAGAGCAGGCTCAGAGGAGGAAATGGCTACATATTCACACAAATAAACACAAGTTTTATTTTCATGTGCTGAAAATTGTGTTGTGGAGAAACTCTGCTAACTAAAATTACAAATAAATGCTGAATGCACGGTCATTACAATGTAACAGGATATTTCCAAGTGTACATATAAAGGGACCACTGAACAGTCAGCAAATAGGTCAGTGATCACCACTTAACTCTGCTTTATTAAAAGGATTTGAGAATATCCCTAATCTTATAAGAAACACAGATTTTCATTATTCTTTTGTGAACTAGAATGAGTGCATTATAGTAGCTGGAAAAAAATTAAAAAGGCATCTGCCTTTTTTCTTCAGTTGCTCCATAGTAATACATAACTTTAAGTTACAGTAGGAAGAAAGGGACTAAATTGGCACATGCTATATTTTATTACTGATTTTGGAAAAAGGCAACAGCAGTTTTTTATGAAACACACACGGTGCCTTACATTGTTAAATTCTTTAGGGTAATCTGGCTTGTGTCTTACTGCTGGCAGTGGGAAACTGTAGTGAGACTGCCAAGACTGATTCTTGGAAGTGCCAGGATCTGTGACACCATGGCGTGACCCTGGAGCTGTGAAGCCAAATAAGCTATATAGAAAAGACCCTGCAAACCCTAAAATCCCCCAAAACACATAGATGAACTGGTAGTAAAACTTGCACAATTAGATCAAAAGCTTTATCTACGGTTTGTCACATCTCAAAACCAGCAAGAAACAGTCATTTTTCAATGGAAAAACAGATCACTGAAAAAATTCCTAGCACTCTTCAAAGCCACAATCAGTAACTAAGCAGAAATCTAGCTTCAGGTTGGAAAAGGGACTTTGATCTTTGTTGGCCATTTAGTGGCTTCCACAGCTCCAGTGCTGGGGGCAGCACAGGTCACAGATGACTCCCATTAATCTAGTGGCTCACTGGCAAGAGAGAGAAAGGAGAGGCAGCTATGTGCTACCCTTCGCTCCAGGATGAGCTTGGTAACACAAAAAAAAGTATCAGATGTAGAACAGAAAGACCAGGTAGTTTGCAGTGCAGTAGTTGCTACGTTTGGCTATGCATATAGGTCTAGTACAAGTCAAAACCACTTAAGATCCATGTATTTCTATTCAATGGGACTAGCAGTCCCATGTTAGCTTTTTCCCCACATGTTCTTAGACAAAAATATGCCATTTCATCATATGTCCAATGTACTGCAGATGCTGCTGGAAAACTATTTAACTGAATTAGTTTCTGAGGTAGCACTTGGGTTACATGAAATAATGTTACATATTAAATCTCTGTTTTATGCCAGGTAATCCCTTCCCATTAAGAGGAGTCTCTATTTGGGGAATATATCTTACTTTATCAGCCTGAACTTCAGCTGATTTTCTTTTTTACCTCTCTGTCCAGTTCCACCTTGATTTGTGGTGAACTTTCAAAACTCATGTGGCAGAGTATGTGCCTACCAGAAAACGAAGTATCTAGCAAGATGAGCACTGAGGGTGCTTTACCTGTTCTTATACCCATAAGAATGAAACAAAGCAAGGGAAAGCCTTAATTTCTTTTTGTTCTCAAAACCCTGAAAAAGCATGCCCTCAATTACCTATCCTTCTCAAAACCCTGAAAAAGCACCCATTTATTTTCCCTGACCCACAGACAGTATGTTTGGAAAAAGCTAAACAGAATATCTATGCAGTTACATAAGTGCTGTACTCCGCATGCAGACTCAACACATCATCTCCTCTTATTGAACTGACCAAAAGCCGACTTAAATCAATAAGAGTCCTTCTATGAAATTCAACGAGCTTTGGATTAGACAAATCCTGCACAGGAGCAATACCTGAGCCCCCAGGTAGGAACATGTTTCCAAAATGTTTGGAAAGAACCTTTTACTTACTTAGTACTTGAACCTATTAAATCAGGGGCAGGAAAAGGAAAGTGCCAAGAACAACACTTTTCTGACATTACCTTCTTTTCCTTAATGCTGCATATTTTAATAGTAGGTAGAACAGATGGTGAAATATAATCTCTCCACTGAGAATTAAATGACAGTCACTAGCTGTAGGGGACACTAAAGTATTAATGAGAAGGAAATGTACAAATAATGAAAGTACATTTTGTCCAACTTGCCTTTGATGAGGCATAAAATAAAATGTAAATAATTTCTATTAGGAGGAAATTAACATAACAACTTTGGTATTTGCAATCAGAGTGAGCTTGTATTATATAACCTGGATTTGCAACTGAGGCAGTGCAATACCATTTACCTGGATTTGAAGTAAGGATTATATCAATTCTATTTTCACCATCAGTAATAAAGCACAAAACCAATACCATTAACATGACTGATAATAGAGAGATGTGATTAGTCTCAACCTGGATAAGCAATAAAACAAAACAAAACAAAAAAAAAAAGGAGAGGAAATGTTGTTTAGCTTTATATGAACAAAGAGGTTCTATTAACCTGGGTTTGCAGTGAAGAGAAGTGTCAAACTGCTAACATAGGTTTGCAATTAAGTTGGTGTCAATGTGACTGGGAAAAGGAGTTCATAATTAGGACAACACAGTTAGTATTGACCTGAATTTTCAATAAAAATCATGTCTGCATTTCAATTTGGAACTATAAAATTCATCCCTGTGCTGTACAAATGATGATATAATGATTAACTTGCAGTTACTTTACAATTAGAGAATTATTTACATAATATGTTATTTTTTTATATAAGCACATGCCTGTTAGAAATGGTGAGCTGAATGTAGGGTTCCCGGAAGTAAACTTCTACATTTCTTTGCAAAAGCATTCCTAAGGATTTAAATACTTTACTCCCAGAAAAAAATACTGCTTCAGCAAGACTCTATGTTCCTGCTCCAAATATTGGTTTCTTTATTAGAGCTACTAGTTTTAGTTAATTAGTAGTTAAATCTCTATTAATGACCTCACAAATAATTATCATACCCATTTATTGTAAATACTCTTGATGCTTCTAGCAAACATGATTAAGAGGGTACTTAAATGGACATAAATTGGTTGTTTCATCAGCCTTATGCACTTTATTGCAGAAAACCAACGAGAAGAGTAGTTATTTTAAAGAACCTGAGCATGCACTTTTTTGCACTTATTTTCCTACGTAGATACAAGTCCAATATATCAAAACAACACTCGAGGATAGGCAACAAAGGATTTTTCGGGGAGGGGGCACGGGAAGCAAGCTTTTATGTGCTCTATGTTTCCTCACAACAGAAAAGGAGAACATGAGCCCAGTAGCATTTTCTGTCTCAATCTATAAGTAGTCTCACCTCCTCCTTCTTCTTCTTTTCCTTCTTCTTCTTTTTCCCCTGCACCATGAATCAAAGGTATCTCAACTTCTGTTGTGTCTTCTTGGTTCAAGAACGGCTCTGAATAAATTTGATAAAAAGAAGATGAACAGTAAAGCTTTTCAGAATGGACATAAAAGGTTTAACATACACTGGAGAGATTCCTGTTAAAAACACTGGCAGAGGAAAAGGATCTTTTTCCCCAAATGTACAGACACAAAAGCTGTCTCAGGGAAATCCAAGGGGCTGTAGTTGAGAGCAAGGCCTTGATCCTCCAAGATGCTGAGCTTTCTGGGATTTAGCATAAAAACCCCACGTGTCTAGTTCCAAGCATGGGCCTTTATTGGGACTTGTCGCAAGCCCAGATACACACGTACTCAAGTGTTTTGCTGGACTGGGGACAGAGCATTCAGTGCTCCAAACATACAAGGCTGAAGTGCTTGTCATCAGGAATAAGCAATGCGATGTTCACTTCTTTCTTTAACAGTCACAGACATTAAAAAGTCAGCTTCTATCACCGAGAATCCATGGATACTCCCGTGCTCAGCAGTGAATTTAGAGTTACCATAAGAAGATCCAGCTCCACAGATTTAGCTTAGTAGGCATGGAGAAAGAAAGGGAACTTAAACACTACTGATATCTGAGCAATAACTAGCAGGTTTTCTGTTAATCTTGCTCTTTGGTTTCAAGGCATGTGCAGTACCTCCTATATCCATGCAGGAGCTTTGGGAATCTGCCCCAGTTTTCATCTCTTCCTCTGCAGACACATCCTGCTGTCCTGTTAACAAGACAAATTGAAAATGACATCAGCACGATGGCTGTGGGCAGGCAATGAATGGCAAGTTCGTCAAAACAGGACACGAACCTAACATATAGCACAGTCCTTTTCAGCCGAGTGCTGCTTTTTTTCTATTAAACAAAAAATGTTGGACGTATTTTATATGTGAAAATATCACTTAACAAACTCTAAGCATTAAGTATGTTAAATGGCTGGTCAAAACTGACCCTGAATCAACTTTTTTTTTTCTTTTGTAGCTCAGCCTTGACACACTGATTCTTATAGGAGCTGTTGCAAAGCACTCACACTTGACAGTTGACTTAGCAGAAGGAACAGAATCACCCCACAGGCTTTTAGAACAGCAGCAGCAAAAAAATAAGAAGGACAATAATAACAATGCTATGCACCCAAGATCAATATGGTTAAACCCACGTATTTGGAGATGTGTGTCTTTTCCAGCAACACCAGAGATTACTGCACCACAGCTGGTTGGCACACAACCTCTATTAGCCAATAGCATTTTCTTAAGGCAGCAGAGGTCAGGCTGAAACCCACTGGATGCTGAAACTGGAGGAACTAAGGTTCCAAACTGGTTCATTATCTCTGTCTTAAAGAATTTTGATACAAAACTTTACCTTCAGCTTGCTCTTGTTCACATCCCACAGGATGCACTGGGTCACTCTCCCGTGTGCCTTTGGAGTCTTTCAGGGAGTCTGAGGAAACAGCAAACAAACAAACAAATCCTGCAGTGGTTTTCATGCTGGAAAAGTCTGGTAGTTACTTCAGACACAGGTAGCCCTTAGGTGCCAGCTTCATATCTGGCATTCTGATACGCTGACAGATTTTCTATCTTTTTAACTACAGACTTATATACTACAAAAGTATACTCATGGGTTTCAATTATTCAAATTGATTTCAAAATCTGTACACTTACTGAGCAGTTTTTTGCCTGCAGTACAAACCTTAAACAAGGAGCTGGCAAGAAAGGACAGGTAAGAATAATCAGCAGTGCTACGGAGAATTTTATTTCTAATGAACGGAGTGGCACATAGCTATGAGAAACAGCACAAACCACCTACTTGATAAATAAAGTGATTTCTTATTTATTTAGAACAATGCCAACACTTTTCATGGTTGGACTTCCACAAGCTTGACAAACATTAAGTCCTATAAATCCCAGTGCAAATCCTAGCCTCATTTCACTTGGTGACAGAACTCCCAAGGTCATTATCGTGGCCAAGACTGTTTTTCCTTTTAGGGGAGACCAGCAAAACAAACTGCCCAAAGCTGTACCTTGAACCAGTGGCACAGTGAGGTTTAAATTAGACAATGTAAGTCCAATCGCTATCCTATCTGCAGTCTTCATAAACACAGGGCATTATTTTGTTGTGTCGAATGTTCTGACAACAGCCACTCCTTAGTTATTTTGTTGTGTCGAATGTTCTGACAACAGCCACTCCTTAGTTTTTGCATGGGTATGGAGAAATGCATTACTCCACCACAGTCAGGAAATCACAGCAACACAGCCACCCATTTTAATTCTGCTCATCTGCATAACACAGCTTTCACTGGATAAGGAGCTCTGTTTGAATCTTGTTAAAAAAACACCGCTGATCTAACTGGACAATTCTGCAAACTACAGGGGTAAGTACACTTGAGGTCATAACAACGGTAACAGATAATCGGTATTTGTGTTCCAGAGTGAAACATTTTCTGAAATGCTTCTAGATGGAAAACTTAAGTAATAGTGCCAAAAGATCTATGGTGCATGATACTAAATTACGCTATGACAGTCCTGTTATGGCTCTACTGCTGCAAGGTCTCTTTCTACAATATAGCAGAGCAAATCTTACAATATACCAAAGGATGCCCCTGTAAAACTCTGTTCCTGAAACTTGCCAAGAATAATCTCTGACGGATAAGTGGGAAAGCTCGGTTGTTAACATCTGATCCAAATTTAATAATCTGTAGAAAAGGTATGCAATGAAAGTGTGTGGCTTTAATTAACTGCAAATAATCCCCCAAGGCAAATATTTAATTACCTGCACAGCTTCTTACTTCTTTCATGGCATGACAATAAGTTTATAAATCCAAGTTTGAAAGCAGAATATCTCACTGATGTACAATTTACTAAAATTTGCCCTTGGTGCACTTTTTTTCACCCTACTGTGGACTTAAAACACTACTCACTACTATCAGCTGGACCACTGCACTGGCCTTTCATACTAGGATACCACATTGTGCTACGAGTTACAAGGGATTCCTATCAGCCCAAATCAGAGAAAAAATAAATGAGAATTTCATCAGATTCCAAGTTTAATCAAAAAGTGAGTTGAAGGACCCCTTGGTATAAATGGGAATGGCACTAAAAATCTGTAGGGAATTTTTCAAGCAAACTTTAAACCCATTGAGTGAAATTCTGCCTTTGCTTAAGTTTTTGACAAAGCTTTCAGGATATCAAAAAAGCCAAGATCTGTACCACCTGTAGCCCCATATGCTAATTTAATATAATCTTTTTTCTGTATGATTTAGTTGCAAGTTTGTAAAAAGAACTGTACTGACGAAGCTGGAATCAGAAGTCCTCTGCCTTAAATACCATGCAGCCCTTCAAACAGCCAAAAGTAATGATAAACTGTGATATTATCTACTACGGGTGGGAGAGATGCACGTGGCTCTGTCCCATCAGACCCTTAGAGCTATCTTATCCTACACCTATTGCACGGTAGTTCATAGTCCAAGACCTGTGCCTTTAATCTCAGTTCACAGGTGCCACCTTTTCTCCCAGAATGAGGAATGACTCCAATTTCATGCAAAAATCAATCCCCAGCATCAGAGGAACAATTACGTGCTTTGGTCAATAATAACAAATGGAGTTTAAGGAGCCTCGTGCTTGGTTGATGTATGTGCCCCATCACACTGCTGTTTGTCGTGGAGCATCACATAGCTTATGGCAAACTACAGTTATCACACAGCGTGGGGAGTTGTCACTACTCCCACCCTTTGGCACAGCTGGCAGTCTGACCCCGCAGCTGCACTGAGTGCCAGCATTAGGCACCACGGCTAGAGACCACCTATGCTATTTGGCACATCTTCAGACATTACCATAGCTGGCTCTACACAGTTTATTCTTACAGGACTGTAATTTTGTGTTAAGCTTCCATTTTTATCATAAACAGTTTTCTAATTGTTCCGGGGTTCAAGAAAGCAATTTAATTGCACAGAATTCCAAATTATCCCAGGCAATACACAATGACAATGTTGCACAAGTTATTTTTTGTAAAGCATGTTTCTGAAAAGAGCAGAACATGGTCAGGAGTTACGGCCTAGCTGTAAGAGTCCACTGCTCTTATTTCAGCAGTAGAAATCAGTCTTTGCATTAGTACGCAGATTCTGAGTTTCAAAATCTTTAAGGTCAAGACCATGTCAAAGATTTCTTCTTTTCAAATGCAAATATTAGATCAAATATTCAAGCCAAAATGTCCAAAGACAGATTTACTTTTAGGATTAACAAGAATAAAATAAAGGAATAAACACAGTTTTATGAAGAAAATCTGAGCCAAGCAAGAGTGAAAGTGTAAGACCAAATGCACCAGTCAATAAAAGCTGTTCCCAAATCGGATACAAGGCAAGGGTGCCACCTCCATTTCAGCTGGCAAGCAGTGGTGGGAATCCCACAAATGCTGATGATATACTACTTTCTGCATGCAAGTTTTCAGTAGGGTAGTGGTATTGCTCGGGCTCAGCTGGTCCTCTGTGCTCGCTTAGCCCTTTGGAGCCTTATGCAACTGGGCAGAAGCCAGTATCACAGTCCTAAATGATTCCAGGGTCTGCAAAAGCTCTGGCCATCCCTAAAGCCTTTGTTCATCTCTAATTGGCTAGGGAACTAACTCTGATTTTTTAAATGGCATAAAGCAGTGTTAGTCTTCTCCTAAGACTGCTACTTATCTGTTAAGTCGTACCAGAGAATCCAAGCCAGGATACTATTTTGCAGCACAGTATGCTTAGTTTTTTGGTAACACACGCTGGGCACTATTTACCTTGGGTAACCATAAATTGGGACTGTAAAGGTTAACATTCCTCCAGGCAGGACTGAAAATAATCAGTGTTTCTGATACTACACTGCAGCACAGTTCCTAATGTAATCATTGATCACACATGAATGAACCAAACACAACACTTAAGGACATCAATGAACCAAAGATAGGCCACTTTTATCTACTGCACATCAAGCATTGAAGTGCTCATTGAAGTCTGAGCGTGCCTTGGATCCTTCAAACCTGCTTTTACTTGGTAGCTGCAGTGACAGTGTCCACATCAGGGACGCTTGGCTTTGCACCCCTCCATTGTATTGAAACAACTGTCTCATGGGGCTGCATGGTTGAATGCACCTGGGAATTAGGCCCAACCTTTAACAACCCATGAAGTAAGTATCTGGACTTTAAGTAAGCCGATCAGAATACTCCCCAAGTATATTCACTGTTCCAATATATCAACCATATGTTGAATTCAGCTCCAAGAAAACCATGTATCTTGCAATAAACTATCAATCCTACCCTTCCTGCCAATAATCAGACACTATTTTGTCTAAATGCTGCATAAACCCCCATGCTTTTCCATGCCATTCACATTTTTTTTTGACTGTATAAAGCAACGCTGCTCAAACAAAATTTTGCAAATGCTAAGGAAGAGGAGAAATGGTAAGATCTGAATGTTAAGTGGTTTTAATGATCTTTTAAAATTCACTTCTCCAGCTACTCTCTGTGTGGCTTATTTACTGAGTTGTTTCTAATGTGCAACACACCTGGGTCCTGCACACAGCATAGATAAATCACCATGTTTTAGGAAGCTGTAAGAAGATTAAAGAGGGGAAAAGCTGGTCATTATGAAAGAAACAGGTTCAGTGCATTTTATTTTTTAAGCATGATACTGTGAAAAATGACTGGAATATTTCCAGAGTGAAAGAAATCAAGCAGGCGTCTAAAATTACAGGTAATGGTGTGCATGGAGGCTGCCACATGATTAGGATATTCTTTTGCCTCATAAACCGAGAAAAATGTGATAAAATTAAGTACTATAAAATGGTGATTTATGAGAAGTTAGGGAGATATTCTTGAGCTTTGACTTTAAAATGTTATTTTTATATCCACCAAGATTTCATTTTAATCTATCTTTATGACAGATTAGATTTACTGGAGCCCAAGTTTATATGGCTTGGTAAAACAGACCTTTTTAGGTGGAACAACCTGTAGAGATATTTCTGCAAGTGTTCAGGTAATAGACCAGGCAGTTCATCTCCACAGGTGGGGTCCATGGAGTAATGCTCCCACCCGCTCATGCTTCAAGTTGACAGAAGAGCATCTCCTCTAACCTCACCTTCTGTCCACAACAGAAATCTCAGGCACAGCTGGTACGATAAACGTGGGCATCCTGCTGCTGCCGTCAGGGGCAGGGCCTGTTGAACAGGGCACTGGGAAAGGAGAAAACTAAGAAAAACCTGGCCACCTCAGTTAGACCCTTCCCAGGAGAAGATGCCACACTGCTGAAGGTAAGGGTTGAGGGGGACAGATGGAAGGAGTAAGGTGCTCGCATCGGACTGACGGGAGCACAGCTGGATGGCTCCAGGTCAGCTAATATTTAAAAATAAGTAGGATCTAAATAAACCAGCTAAGTAGATTAGTGTTAGCTGTGGTGGCTGCCTGTACTGGTGAAGGCTAGAGCAGAAATACCTCAAGTATTTTATGGGCTGGACCCCATCTGGATGCACAATGGAAAGGAAAAGTGAATAACCCACATTATGTACAGCTCAAAGTGGCCATTATGGAGGGTGTTAGGAGAATAGGCGCTTGGTTGGATGGTGATTGTTATGTACGTGGGTTAAAAAAACCCAAACCACACCATTTAGCTTCTAACCAAGGGAGAGAAAAATGTTATCACTGTGGCTGGCATGCAGAGCCACAGCTATGGTTGGGGGTGTCAAAACTCTTCCATTAAAAAGGTTCTTTTTCAGTTACCAATAATTGAAATTTTTCAGACTGAAATTTTCCAGGTCTAATCATAGCCCAAGGGTGAAGTAAAAACATTTCATTGGTAGCTGCTGAGCACTCAGCACTTCTGAAAATCAGGTCGTTCATTTAAATGTCTTAATATATACTTAAGAGCTGATTTTAAACACCTCTTTTTGAACATATTGGCTTTTCAGTCAATCTTTTTCACCCACTTATCAATGTCTAATTTACATCCATTTGCACAGGTCCCCTGCATTTGAAATGCTCTATCTTTCAGTTTATCCCTTCTCAATCATTTATGTCTTTAGGACATCAAGATTTTTCCATGGTGAGAACTACAGCTGGCCAAACAAGAATTTTATATCCATTATGTTTTACAGGGAGGATACTTACAGGCTTCTGGGTTGCACAAAGTGAGTTTTTAGGGCTAAGCCCTAGCCAAGGCATATACCTAACTCTGTTTCTGACAACATAAGCCCTCCAGCTGACTGAATCTGAATCCATTTCAGAGAATGTAGAAAAATAGTGACTTGCTTTAAATGGCACTCCCACAGGAGCACAGACTTTGGTGAACACCTGGAAATAATTAATCACTACTTTATTTTTAAAATTAATTAGCATATGATTTAATTTAGTTGACCTTCAAATGAAAATTCAGTTCTTATCAAGTGCTAATGAATTAACATCAGCGTATTGTGCACAGAAACTTTGCCATGATTGCATAATGGGAAGTTCATTCTTCACCTGTACTAAAGCCCGTTCCTTTTTTCATTTTTTCTACCAGAAAGCCCTATCATTAAATCAGGTTAAACAGTAATTGGTAGGACAGGTAACTTCAGGTGGAGATGCAGAACTCTCTCTCTCTCACACACACACATACTCTTTTCACAAAAAGAAATCACAGGTTCAAACGAATTCACAGCTATATACACTATTGTCCATTTAAAATGAGTTTGCAGTCCCAGCACAATCTTGTATGGACAGGCATACTAGACTGAATGCAGCCTGTCTGATACGTGTTTTATCTGCTGCATAAACATTAATGACTTTAATCACTTTGTTCTGCCCTTACACTTCATAAAGGGAAGCATCTCTAACTTGAAATATGCTGTGTATAAAGGATCTACTTCCATATGCACAGTAATGAAGTGCTACAAAGGTGCTGCCTAGAGATGTCAGCTCTCTCCCCAAGAGCTAATAGCTATGCATGCAAGTTTTCAAGGGTAAAACTGCAACATTTCTTTGCGGTATTTCCAGACAGTGGAAATAGAAACTCGGCACAGAGTGGAATAAGAGGATACCTCCACAGCATAACATCAAATATCTTGATATTCTTGCAATATGACTGTTTTGCTGCTTTTTTTTCTGAGGACAGATAGAGCACTCAAAAAACTCAGTCTGCTCAAAGGCCACATGCAAACTGGGCCCATGTGGACTTTTTTTTCTGGACAGTGTCTCTTCTATTGTGACTAACAGAAGAGATATACTTTCACATTCATATGAGATTTGTAATCTCACAGTAGGTTTTTCATTTTAATTGGAGCCCCGCAAAACATGATTCCTGCATTGTTCCATGCACTTATCACGAAACATCCTCTTTTATGTTCCCATTCTTCCCCTTTTACTTTAAAGAAATCTGATAAAGATGACTCAAGTAGAACAAAAATACTAGAACTTCAATGGTAGCAGAGATGCATGTGCTCTGTTTTGAATATCACCACATTTTAGAGCAATAAATAACTGTTTCAATGTGTTTGCTATATTCTAAACCCAGAAATATGAGAAAAAATAAGCAGAAAAACTACTAGTCTCAACTCTAACTGGAGGCAAAATACTTTTTTTGGTACGCTCACAAGAACTGACATTTTAAAGACTGCTATACTTCCATAGTAGGCTTGGAAACCTCCTATTTTGAGTGGTTTAAACTATGCATTTTGGGAATATGTAGCCTAGGCTGACTTGCCACAAATCTCCTTTCACAGTAATTAGGTGAAAGGACTGAAAAAACATAATTTCTTTAAATGCTTTACATCCACTTCATTTAGTTGAAGATAAACTACAGAAATGAGTATGTTCCAGAATCTGGCAGGTTTTAGCTGTGTTAACTCAGCGGGCAAACAATTTGAAGGCTGAAATTTATTTCGGAAGCAGCAGGTGTTTTCAGAAATGCCAGGATTTTGTAAAAGTGCCATTTCCCAAGCGGTAGCAAGTTTTTTGTAACACTAGTATTCATTTTAAAATGACTCAAAAGCTAAAATCTGAAAAGTTGAAAATCTACTAATGGAAATAAGGATGAAAACCATGGCCTGGTGGATGTGGTGGCCTCATCATTCAATATTCTTGGTTACCTTTAAAAAACTAGCAAGTAAATCCCAAAACATGTTCTTTTCCCCACCATTCCTTTTTTTCTAGTTGTAAGACTTACAAACAAAATATATGGAGGAAAGTCTGTCTTACTCCTTTTCCCCTACCAGATGCTACCCATCTTTTGAGGAGAGGTTGGACATCAAAGAGAAACTGCCCTTTGGATTTCTCAGGGCACTGTCTCTTCTGTCAGCCTCTCAAGAGAAGAGGAAAACACTATACTCTTAGCATATAATAGATAAAGTGAGACTTACACCACTAAGATGGCTACTTTCCTGAGAAGAGACAACTAATACAATGGGTCAAAAAAATGGAGTGGTTACACATTGAGATGGTCACTGAAAAGCATATCAGAAGACACTGGCTTCATAGTCAGGAACAAGCACTCAAAGCAATACCAAAATGTTGGGATCTTCAGTAAGACTGCAGACAGCAAAATAAAAACCTCCAAAGCCTCACCATGACCCTCACATTACGAAACATAAAAAACACACCTGATGGGGGATCTTATAGATACAGGATACATAAACAAATGTCAGCAAAAAAAGAGAAATGAATGGCAGGCAATCACCAGCTATGCTGGGGCTGAATCTATCACTATTTCTGCCTTCTACTAGCCTTGCCACGACTTCAATCTGTGAAGATAGCAAAAGCAAAAGCCAGGCTCCAGCAAGGGTTTATGGTTTTTTTTCCCTGCAGGATCAATCAATCAGTTAAGAGAGCACTTAAATCAACCTGCATAAGGCTTTGAACTCATAATCAGGTAAGTATGTGGGCTCTCTAGCATGTATCTTCAGAACAAAAGGGCAAAATCTCACACCCTGTCACACTTATCTAGAAAAATGAGAAGAGTCAAGCAGCGACGCTGAATTAAACATTAAATCTTTAAAAATAAATAAGTTAATGGACGTTAATATAATTATGTTATCTCAGTAAAATGCATTAAAACTTTCTATTAGTCTTCCTTGAAGGCTGTACTGATGGACTGTATTTATTATAGATAGCATAACTCCTGTTTTGAATTACCAGTAGCGAACATTTTGTAAATCACCCAGGCTTTTTCATGACGTACCCCCACAAAAATGCCAAAACCCATAGACTGGCACAAGCAATTAATAGCATGATATCATAAGAGTATCAAAACCAGTACATCTGTGCACTGGTTCCTATCTGTAAACCAACAACTCCACAGGAAAAATCTCAGCTTGAAACATTTAAATTAGATCATCTCTCTTTCTTGTTTCCTAAACTCCCTGTCATTTGGCTCTCTGACACTTTTAAATATTTATCACAAACTAAATGATCTGAGTGCCCAGCACAGTCTGCACAAGATAAACATTGCTTTCTCCCTCTCAATTATGACTTCATCTCCTCCTGTCTCCTCTTGATGTGTTTATAGCTATTGTGTTTTTTCTTTTTCCCTGTCAGGAGAGCACCAAATAGGGAGCTAATATTGCTGAGGTAGATGTGCACGCTTAAGTTTCTGCCTGTGAGTTGCCCCAACGAGCCCAAGCTTTGGGCTTATTTCTGATGTGTCATGTATGATATTTTAGTATTACCTCTATAACAAGGGGATTTAGGAATTCACAGCATCTCTCCTACCAGCACAACAGCTGGTGCCAAGTACTTCATTACGAAGACACTTGTAAATGAAAATCTAAGCAATTACCTATTTCTGTATTGTTTAACTGTGATTTTGGCCATTTCCAAACAAAGGAAAATAAGGCTTTATGAAATGTCCTCTTGGGACTGGATATTTTGAAACACCATTTACAATCTGTACCTTTATCCTCACTCAGCTCTGCTTCTTCTGATGATGACAGGCTGGGTACAGCTGAATGTTTCATCTCATCTATAAGAACCAAGGAAATGAAAGAGAAGTTATTCATTAGATAGTAAACTGATGAACCACTTGACTGGAAAAAAAGTGTTACGCTTTATTGAGGCAAGATACTAGACCTGAATTTGATTTACTGGGCTTCGATCCATTCACATTGCATTCACTGGCCATTACTGGTCTGATTGTCTTCCCTAAGCCAGGGGTAAACTTACATTACAATACTGCCAGATCAAGTCTATATTTCAATTTCTCATAATACAGAGAGAGGAACAGCTATCAGTTTCATGGGTAGGCTGGTGTTGCTATTTGCTTTGAGATTCCTTTTTTCATTTAACCCATCTATTTTGAGAAAAAAACCAATTAAGCCATTCTTAACTTTAATCATGTCCATGAATTCCATTGGAATCAAAATGATTACATGCAAATGCTTTCCTGAAAATAAAAGCTTTCATGAATCAGGCCTGAAATTTAGCAAGTCCCTGAAAATCTGTGGATTTGAGTTTTTTAATGGTAGAGCATGCAGTTAAAACTATTGTAGTTAACAGATAAAACTAGTACCTGAATTTATTATAGTTTTTTAACTTTCACTGTTACTTTTTCTTGGCAATTTTTATAGTTCTAAAACATTTATAAGCCTTTGTTTTCATTTCTAGCCTTTGATTTCTTTCAAAAAACTTGCTTCTGTGAATGAGTATTTTTAACTAGCTTGAAACAAGACCTCTGAACCACCCGCCATTTTGTTTTTCCGCATGTTAACTGTGAAGTTCACTGATGATAGACTGGAGGCCAGACTTTAAAAAACCCTCACAGTAATAGCTGAAAAATTTCAGGCCGGTCTTTGTACACTATAACTGGCTTTTTCACTACTGTATAATAAGAATATATAAATCTTTATGTAATGGACCGAGTAAGAAAACAGTGTCTATTTTTTATCCTACATTTTCCTTCCTAATATTGAAGTATACGACCTGTGATTTGTCATACTCAGATGAAGGTTTAGAAAATACAGTTTAGAAAATACACATAAGAACTTTAACATTTGATGGGATTGCTCTTTACCATGATCATTCACAGTGATTAGAAACGTTTTAGGCATACAACTGTGTATCTTGGAAAATCAGGTCATTTCCTACTGCTAAGAAAGGGCACAGAAGCAACAATCTAAAAGTTCCTGATGATGTTTTGTCTCCACAAGGAGTTGAGTGGAAAGCAGCAGCAACTCATTAGCTGAATGTAAGTCGAGGTAATTGTACACCTCTCTGTTCTTGTCACTGTGTGAACCAGTAGGGATAAATGTTAAGCCAAATAATTTTTTCCTGTAACACTGTGCGCCTGTGGCCGTGGAGGTGATTCATGAACTATGGGTAGGCACAACGCTATCTTTAGGCATGTACCTAAAACATGTTCCTAAAGTATGACATTTTCTGGATCTGGGACCTAAAATGTCTGGATCTTTTCTTTGATGCTTTTCATGATAGTAACAAAACATGACTACCAATATGAGATTGCAAAAGAATGTACATCATGGCTCTGATAAACCAGCTCTGACAGCTTGTAACATAGCAAGTCATAATGATGGTTTTGGGAAAAACACAATGCTTTTAAGACATCTCCAGTAGCAAAGTAATAATTTAGAGAGGTATATATTCCTTAATTCTCTTGGGAAAAATACCTCATTCAATTGAACTGTTTTGCAAATCAAAATACCAGGGAAATATACACCCCATCAGAGTGAATACACCTGACAAGCACAATGGGCTGTATTTGGCATCTGTAGACAGTAGTATAACTGGGTTTAACAGGCATTCTGCAGGCGGAGCTAGAAGCTCCTAGCAGTACTAGCTCTTAGGCAAGCTAGCAGCCAAGCAGTATTTGGTACAGTTAAAAGCTCAATATTGCTTGGGCAAAGATATGCCCCTGCCTAGTCAGACATTCAAAATGGAGTCTAGATTCAGACAGAGTAACTCATTTCTCCCTTCTCCCTGGTCCCCTTCGCCTATTTAAAATATGACTAGCATAAAAATGAAAAACCCAGGAAAGGAAACGTGGTTGTCCTCCAGCACTTACAAAATAGTACTGCATGCTTATCTTGGGGAGGATAAAGGCCCTAGGTCCAAAGTTTGCTGAGGTCCATGGGAATCTTTTTTATTCTGTAATACTGTGTGCCTATGGCTTCACCTCCTACTGTTTGCCCCACGTGAGGACATAAAGAAGAGGTGATAAAGAGGACATGAAACATAGAAGGATTTCAAGCACTTGTGGACAGCATTGGCTGTTAACACCTAGCTGCAGAAGACTGACCTGTGGACTGCAGAGAGAAATGCTGCACTTCCACATATGCAGTGCCCAATGCATAGGACAAAAAGAAGGACCCTTATCAAGTGAACTCCTCATCTGGAAAACAGCCACAATGCAGTAAACAAGCCAAGATAAGTCAAGAATCTAGGCCTTCTAAATTTTTTTGCTGCATTTACTGGCTGGCCTTCTTCAGCTCAATCTTCCACATATTGAAAATAATCTTCAATTCTGATTTTTAAAAAAAAAGAAGTTCTGAAGAAAACCAATTCATGCTCTTTGGATTAAGTATGTGTAGGCAACATTCTGCACTACAATGAGAAAAAACCCAACCAAACAAGAAAAGCATTGGGTTACATGTAATACTACACTAAAAAATCCTTAAGAAATAAGGGGTTTTGCAGATATTTTGATTGTCACTTCAGGTCTTTTGATAACTGATTAATTTTAGTTGTCTTTTGCATTGAACAGAGTTGGGTAGGATGAAAAACACAACCATAAACAGAAAAAAAAAAAAAGAAAATCTCTTGTGAACATAGAGTGACATTATATTTTAAAATATTGAACTCACTATAATTTCTAAGCATGCCATCTGCAAAACCCACTGCTCGTGAACTCTGACATTCATTCGCAGTATATGCAATATCTTTCTGTGTGGATTTAAATCTTCATAACCCCTGAGACTTGTGTGGACAATTTATTAAAACTTGAAAATACCCTTTAAAATCATCAGAAGTACAGTTTTGATCAAAAGAAGCCTACTTCCTCCTTCTCCAAATTTCCTTTTCCCCCATTTCTATTCTATGCAGAGGGCTACTCTGTTGTAGACAGAGGGAAAATTATTTCTTTCTAGTTAGAGGATTAGCTAGAGTTAGTCCACCTTAAAGGGAGAATGTAGAACTGGTAAGCTGAAGAGGGAAGTCTGCATTCCTGCATTGCAATACATTCATTCATAATGAATGGAGTTTTGGTCTCTAATGGGAGAATTGCTCAAGACCTGAGCTAATCTGGTGAAAATGTACAAACATTCTCCTTCAATAGCACTGTGTAAGGTTATTGTTCACCAAGGTGGATAAAACCTAAGAAAGTACTTTAAGGAACTTGGCACAAACCTGCTTCTCCGCTCCGGGCCTCGGTTTCTTCAGTGTTTTGCTTTTCTTCTGTGCGGTTACCACCTATCGAGGAAAACATATAAAAATTATTTATGATATATCTTTTTATTGGTAACAGCAGCAGCAATATTAATTGTAACTTATTCAGCACAAACCGCTAATTTACAGCAAAGTGCCATGATAAAAGGGGAGAAATACAAAGGTAAACTGAAAAAACCTGCAAACATAACCAGTTACATTTAAAACAGTCACATTTTCACATCTCAAACTGAGGAAGGGGGGTTAGATTAAAGATTTTATCTCAGTAGGCACACTGGAAATATCTGTATACTAAATAAAGGTATGTTCCTCTAAACACTGTCTGCAATAGACGAAATTGTTGCTCAATCTTAGTCTATGTATTTTATAAAGATTTTTTCTAGGATTATTTTCCTCCAGTAACATTTCCACAAGATCCTTGAAGTGGCCGTGTTTCCAATGTGCAGAACCTACTTTAATGTCTATGGAAGGTAAGAATAGGAGAGGGAGAATTGCCCAAATTTTATTTTAAAGCAAAAGGCACAATGCCACTTAGCATAAAGTATAAAAATGCACCACAAACGATTGCAAAGAAGAGAGCAAAATAAACCAAAGTAAGATTGCTAGGATTGAATGCAGTGTTCCCCTTTTTACATTCACATTAATTCCCAATTTTCTCCACTACTTTGCATTTGCACTCACTATCCATTTTCTTCCCTCCAGCTCCCTTTTGGAAGGCAGGTAGCAAACAGCAAATTACTACCCAGAAAAGTAATACCCTAGGGAACATCTATGGACATGAGATCAAGCTCTCTTAACCTTTGCTTGGCCCGATTAGAAATCTATCGGGAAGTCTGTATCTTCAACGATGGAGAAGGCTGGTTTAGCTTCATAATAATAACAGAGGCTGCAGTGCAGCATGCTGGATCAGATGCAATGGCTACACTCACTCCTTCCCAGCATAGCGAGATAGACAGCAAGAACAGCTGAGTACCAGCCTTAATGAGGCATTGGAAAACTGACTGCTGAACATATACACTGGGAGAAAGGAAATTCATTCCCAGGCCTGTAAATGGCTTGATAATGATATACATAATTTTTGCTGTGATCTTTTCTGGCTCCTGGGTTTTTCTGATTACAGCTTCTCTAAAGCAATACGGTTAAAGTTCCTCGCGCCTCCACCTTGCTTTTACTTAACATATGGTTGAAGAAAACGGCAGTAGCCCAAAAGCAATTAGGTGGATGGAAGAAAACTAGAGAAAGCGTGTGTGTTTCAGAAGCAAACGTGCATCTGGTGGCACACTGCATTCAGCTAATATTTAAAGGCTGAGGTATGATGCTCTCCCTCTTTCCAGCAGGCAATACATCCCGGCATCCAGCAGATGGGACTAGTGGAGAAGTATTTCCAGGCTGACCCTGCACAGAGCTGCTCTCAGGATGAGCGGAGATGAAGCAGCAGTTTGACACCCCACCTGAGAGGGGAGACGTGGGCAGGGAGCGGCTGATGGCCATCAGCAGGGACTCAGGCATCCTACCTGCTTGGTAATTCTTTGTACCGATTTTTACTAGCCTTAATGGATGACTAGCTATAGTGATTTCTTAGCACATTAGTGAGCTCTAACCTGTAAAAAATTGCATTACATAGATGACCAAAATGGCTTAATAAAACCAGCTGGATTTTTTCCCTCCCCGCCTTGAAATCAAATAGTGCTCTCTTCAAAAATCAGTGTTCTGCCTGTCCACGCACAACAGGAGAACTGCATGCAAAATAGTAAGTTAGCTGTACTAGAAGATAAACTTTTCTCTCTCCCTCCCCCTTTTCTTTTAAAACATGGACTTGGGACTTTGCAAGCTTTGCAGCAAGCAATTAATAAATATGGAAAAACACATTGTCGTGGTTTAACCCCAGCCAGCAACTAAGCACCACGCAGCCGCTCACTCACTCCCCCCCCATCCAGTGGGATGGGGGAGAAAATCAGGAAAAGAAGTAAAACTCCTGGGTTGAGATAAGAACGATTTAATAGAACAGAAAAGAAGAAACTAATAATGATAATGATAACACTAATAAAATGACAACAGTAGTAATAAAAAGATTGAAATGTACAAATGATGCGCAGGGCAATTGCTCACCACCCGCCGACCGACACCCAGCCAGTCCCCAAGCGGCGAATCCCTGCCCCCCCACTTCCCAGTTCGTAAACTAGATGGGACGTCACATGGTATGGAATACACTGTTGGCCAGTTTGGGTCAGGTGCCCTGGCTGGGCATGAGAAGCTGAAAAATCCTTCACTATAGTCTAAACACTACTGAGCAACAACTGAAAACATCAGTGTTATCAACATTCTTCGCATACTGAACTCAAAACATAGCACTGTACCAGCTACTAGGAAGACAGTTAACTCTATCCCAGCTGAAACCAGGACACACATCCTTTACATCACCAGGACATGTTTCAAAGGGATAAAGTCACCTAGCTCAGGAGCTGCAGAAAGGAACAGTACGTTCAAGACAATCCTGTAATGCAACAGTGCAGTGACACTTGGAAAATCTTTACCATTAGGTCAGATCCAAAGAGAATATTGCATCACTGTGAAACAAGCGGTGCCAGAGCATTAAGGATTTCATTATGGCCAAGTGCAACATGTTTTGCTTTGCACAGAAGGACTTTACATTCAGAAAAAGCAGGTCAGGCATAAATGGTAACTACCAATATATCACTGAAAATCATTTCAGCTTTTACCTCACTGCATTCACAACATAAAATTACATTTCTAGACAATACTTTTTCTACATTCATTATAAAAAGTATGACTATAACCATGGGTTATTTGGCTAAAGCCAGGTATTTCAAGGATTCATTAATGTTTATTGCCAAGGGACTACACCTCTTGTTGAAGTCACTTACTCAGAGCAAACTTAGAACTACAAAAGAAAGTTTAAGTGATCTTCTGGTTTCAGATTATCAGATAAAGCACATATTCATCAGTACATTTTGTCAACCCTAGGTCTATAATTTCACTGGAGAGTCACTGTTTAAAACTGGTATAATAGAACAATAATTACAGCACTGTATATTGGATTCTCAACATGTTTTCCATCTAACACTTCATTTTGTTCCATTAGAAAGAAAAATGTAAAAGACTTTAAGCAGAAGCTTCACCTCTTGTACTCTGACCCAGTCCAACAGACTGACTGGATCATGACATGAAAATTAATCTCAATCAGCATATTGAAAGTATGTGTTGTGCCTGCCAAATGACTTCAATACAATTAGAGAAAAGGAAATGTTAAAAAATTAGGAATGGACAAGTGATCCTCCAGTAGATGACTTGCAGAAGGAAGGGTTAAGCTCTGCTTGGCCTGGAGAATCTCTTCATCTCAGGAGAAAGGGAGGAAGTGTAGTACAAATACACTGATAAGAAAGCAAACTATAGGGTGGAGAAGTGACTAATCCCAAAGCATCTGACAAACATTTTTTTCAGTTTTTTAAAAACCCTTCTAATGAGCCTCTCACTGAATGTCTTCTACTGATGAAGAGTCTTTCTGTAATTATTGCTCTCCATTGCAGTTGGGTGCAGAGCAAATGGAAAGGCTGTAAGTAGCACATGCTCAAGGCAAAGAGCTGGAAATATATTTTACAAGAGTAGCAAGCCATTTTTTCATCATATTTTTATTCACCCCCGGCTCTCCTTTTCTTCAGGCAGAAAAGCCAGACCCAGTGCATTTCCCTTGAGTCTTCCCCGTGACATTTTTAATAATAAAAACGTCTTTTCCACTGGATGGCTTCTACAGTATCTGCCATCCTTCTCTTTCCACTACTGCAGCAATTGGCGATTGCATTTCCTTTAGGTGAAAGCTGTCCTCACAATATCTGCTTTTCTATTATACTAGTAATATAACAGCAATCTGTCACTCACTCCAAAGGAGATAGAAAATGTGGTGAACGGCATGTCGTGTCATTTTAGGCCACCAAATGTAAATGATTTTGAACCACGTCAAAAGACAAATGGGAACATCTGTTCCTGTTCCCCAGCATGGCAGTCAGTTGAAAAAAACCAGGAGTTTGAGAATTACAGTAGCACCGTACAAACAAAATAAGCACATCACACACTAAAATACCTACTTCTGGCCATATATTTTGCTTTCCCTTGCCAAGCTGACTACTGCCTGATAGGCAGCTTGGTCTGTCCTCTTGGCCTTTTTCTTTGAGATCAGCAAGAAAATTCCCCCCCAGTTGATATATACCCTCATTTATATTTGGTAGAAAACAGGCAAAACAGTGATCAATCTGCACACTCAGCAAGCTGGCAGAGCAAGCAGCACTTCTAACTAAACTAGAAAACCGGATACTCTGTGAGTGCCTGCCCACTTTATGTTAAGGAGAGGTATTTAGCATGCACAGTCATATGCCAGCTGCAGTAGCAGCCCCCAAATGAAGCAGATGATATGATAAATAACAAGCCGGCAGTCAGGTGGGAGAGGGCTGGGACAAGATCCCTATGAAAGTCCAGAGGACAAAACTCTCAGCAGCAGCAGCACCAGAGCAGGTTTTAGTAATTCTTCCCATTTCCTCCGCGAGAGTCTGGAGGCACATGGCTTTTCAGATCTGTCACTGTTCTTGCGACAAACATAGCTAGTCAAAAATATTAATAGCCTGCTGGCTTCTTGGCTCTTCCCATTTCAGAGCTGAATAAGTGCCAGGTTTGCTCATACACCTACTCCTCTTCAGCAGTACCTTTCTTCACAATCAGTCAGCAACATACTTAGAGTTTAGGCTAAAGTCAGTGTCTCAAAAACTGGTGCAAAAAGATCTCTCAAAAATTGGTGCAAAAAAGACATTTTCCAGAAGAAAACAGAATCGCAGATAACGTTTTTAGTTAAAGGAAGAAATTCTACTTGAACAGTACAAACCAGTCTACCCTCTCCAACTTCTACCCTCCAACACAGACATTATTAATAAAAAAATTGTTTTTACTACTGAGAAAGCTGTATTTGTATCATCCATAGTGTGTCAACTATGGATGTAGTCAGAGTAAGGTTCCTT